TACCTGCAGTAATTCCATCTCGGCTGCTTTCCAAGGTTGCAGATTATCCATAATCAGTCTGTGGACGAAAATACTACAATGTGAATGAAAATACTGCAACCAAGTAAAACATAACTCTTAACTTTTAGGCTGCACATGTATTTCAGTCAACAGTTTTGGACACCATGAAGGGACCCACGGCAGACTTCTCTCCAACTGAACTCTCCGAGGAACCGGAGCCTTGTTACCAGCAATTGGCCCTTTGTGCCCGTCCACCTCCTCGGGGAGTCCAGATGAATTTGGGTGAGTCTCTCCTGGTTCTCGGATCTCCCATATTGGTTGATGATCCTGAGTTTTATTTGGCGGTGTTTCCAGGTAACTGGCCCTCCAGTTGAAAGAGAATGGGGGGAATTACCCACCCAGTGGAGACATACTGGATGGAGCCTGGTTGAAAGATAACGGGAAATACCCACCTTGAGGATACATCTGAAGTGGGGCTGGTGGAAACAGCCTAGGAAAATACTCACCCAGTGGAGACGTCCCGAGTGGGTCCAAGTTGAAAGACACTGGGTTCAGGACTGTGTGATTAGGTAAGAGGCTGGTCTAATGTTTTCCTCATTTTGGTTACCTCCATTTAATTTTTCAGGATGAAAGTAAAACTCTTATGCGGAACCTTTCAAGTCCAAAAATGGGACCCTCCTCCTGGCTGGTAACATCTTTCTCGGGTGACAGAGAAACTTACAGGAGTGGTAGATGCAAAGACTTCATGCCATAGAGTTGTCCCTGTGGGAAAACTTACTAGCAATTTTATTCTTACAATGGGGACTAGAACTTTCAAAAAAAGAAAAAAAGAAAAGAGAAGAAAAAGAAATAACAGATTGCCAGCTTCCAACTAATAGCCCAGCCAGGTTTATATACGTATAGAACTCACAACATTATTTGGGAATTAGAAAAAAAAAAACTCACTCTGAAAGTAACTAACCAGGCCTGATAAAAACATTTTTTGGCATTCTGAACTTATAAAAACAGAATCCCCTTTAGGGAGAACGTGGATTTCTCATCCTGTGTCCTTGAATTATAAACATTTTATCTTTCTCTGAGTGTTTTATGTGTGTGTATGTATGTATATATGTGTTTCCTTTTTTATAAAGGAAAATTGGACTCTGCCATACAAAAGGTACAATATTGTGTACATATGGTGGCCACGCAAATAAATTGGGATTCTCAACATTCTTTTTATAGTACTAATTTTCAGACATTTTGCAATCTTAAACTTTGTTGCATCAGCCTGGACCACAAAGGCCTTTTCCTTTTGAAGAGTAAACTTTTGAATTTTATTTAGGCAACACCCCCACTCTGAAGTGGAAAATCCTCTTCATCTTATTGTTTTAAAATCACTCTCTCTCTATATATATATATAAATTGATGGTCATATGATGGATCCTTTAATTTGGAAAAACTTTAAAATTGGTGAAAGTTGAAAAAGCTCTCATTATAAACAGCTGTTTTATTGGTACCTTTTAAAATCAAGTTTAAAGGTAGAAAAATATATTTAATGGTTAACCTAAGAACTTAGTTAAAAAAAAAGGTTTGAAAAGCTACATTTGTGTTTTTTCTTTCCGATCAATGGTTTTAGAGATGTTAATAAAAACTTATAATAATTAAAGTTAATATGGCTAAATAACTGGAAAAATGTTGTAAAAATGTCGGAAAAGAAAAAAAGATAAGGGGCTTATCCCAAATGGATAAATATTTTTATATGGTTATTTTGAATGAGATAAATAAAATGGACATTTTTGGATTTAGATACTAGGTTTTGATACTACACTATGTAAAGTTAAATAAAAAAAGGGCCAAAGAGATCACCTATTGTCCCCCAACATTTAAGTTCAAACAAGTCCGTTTTATTTACCACAGTTTAAAATATATGTATTTATAGGGCTAAAATATATATATAATATATATATATATATATATATATATATATATATATATATATATATATAAATAATAATATATATAATAGTAGTTAGGTAACGAAACGAACAAATAATAATAAATTAAAGTAGTACGTACGTACGTACTTCGTTCGTACTACTTAACG